AGTTTACTAGTAAGAAGTTTACTTAGCTTGCAAATACTATAGGAACTAAGGTCAAAATTATTCTTATAAAAGCTTATAATTCTGTCGGAATTATAGAATACTACTATAGCCCGATTTAATATACTTATCTTATTATTATAGCCGAAATTAATAGAATTAATAAGAATATTATATTCCAAATAGCTTTTAAAGCTATTAATAATTCCGCTAGACCCGATAGTATTATCCCAATTCTTTTAGTTTATAGTATTTTATCTTAAATAACCAAATATAATACCCTATTATTAACTATATTATAGTAATTAGTAGTACTTAAAAAGGCAATAATAGAAATTCAGAAGCTTTGAGCTAGATACTAGATTACAAATACCCTAAATACCCGAAATAGTTCTAGTACTACTAATATTTATAAACTTCCCTTAAATTTGGATATTCTTATATAATATAAAGGAAATACTAGTTAACCTAGTAATTAGAATAGACTATATAAGCTAGTAGCTATTAACGGGGAGGACTATATACTAGCCCTACTATATAGTAATACTACCTTTTATTTAACCTCTATAAAGCCCTTTTATATAAGGGATATTAAGGTTATTACTAATAGCCCCGAACTTGAACCTATTTCCAAACTCTATAGTAATACCGAAAGTAATACAGATATGATTTCTTCTACTATTCCTACTATTCTACTAAAGTATAATAGAGGATGCCCTTATAAGAACCCGGATATTATAGTATTCCTATAAAACAATAACCTATACGAGAACTCCCGTTAAGTTAAAGTTACTAGCCTCCTAGAAAAGGGTATATTTAAGGTTACTTCCAGATCTCAGATACTAAAAGAGATATGTATTTTTAATTCCCGGTTTATTAATAAGATCAAGAATAAGAATATAGAGAGAGAGTTTAAGAAATTAAAACTAGTTATCTAAGCTTATAATAATAGTAAGAAATATATAGTATTAATATAATTGCTTACTATTTAATATATTAGCCAGAGAATTATCTTTAGTATTACTACTATAATAATAGATACTACGGAACTATATTTATATAATATCTTATAAGCTTATATCTAATTAATAATCTTATTTAACTATAATTTTTATATTAACTCACCTTGCAAGCTTACTAGAAAGCTAAATCTGAATAATAATTCGGTTCTAAAAGTTATAAAACCACTATATAGTATACCGGAAGCTGGGAACTACTAGTTTAAGACTTACTATTCCTACTATATTAATAAGCTTTCTATAGAATAGTCTACTTATAACTCTTGCTTTCTCTATAGCAAATAATTCTTCGGAATTATTGGCCTTTAAACTAATAATACCCTGTTTATTGGAACTAATGATTTTGCAAAAGCAGAGTAACTAAAGCTCTATAAGGCTAAGTTCTTAGCTAAGGAATACAAATGCCTTACTATTAATTATAATCTCAAATTTAATAGAGGTATTATCTATATAGATATTACTAGAATTACTCTTATATAGGAATACTAGTATAAAAACCTCTAAACCGTTTCTATAAAGAATACTACTACTACAAGTAGTAGGGGTACTATTTGTTAAGATTTCTCTATTAAGAACTAATATATTACCTAATATACTAGAGGAGTATATATTGTATTAGTCTATTAACCAGAAGCTTTATATAACCTATTAATTACTATTTAAGCTATTAAACCTTTGGAAACTAATATAAAGGCACTTAATAAGTATATTTAATAGCAAATTGAGAATACTGCCAGAGGACTGAGATTCATAAAGCTAGTAAAGGAGTTCTTATATTTAATTATTTTTACGAATACTTTATTCGCAAATAACAGAGATCTCTCCTCCCAAATCGGATATATTCTAGTTCTAGTAGACGGAACTAGATATACTAATATTATTTACTAGTTCTCTACCAAATACAAGAGAGTTACCAGAAGCGTCCTAGCTTCGGAACTCTATAATATAGCTTATGGTTTTAATATAGGCGCTTTAGTTAAATCTATAATTAATAGAATACTGGAAATAAAACTACTATTAGTAGTCTATATAGATTCGAAGTCGTTATATAAATACCTTGTCAAATTGGGAACCACTCGAGAAAAGCGCCTAATAATCGATATAATATGCCTTTGCCAGGCATACGAATAATAAGAGATCGCAAAAGTCAAATGGATTAAGGGAGAATTAAACCCTGCTAATTCCATAACGAAATCGAAGCCAATAAACGCCCTCAAGTACCTAATTAATACGAATACCATATAATTGGATATAGAGGAATAGGTCGAGTACGGATAGGGCGGAAAATATATATATAGGATAGGAGGAATTTATGGGAGGAGAAGTTATGTATAAAAGGCTATAGCCTTTAGTATATAACCAAAAACCTCAGAAGTAATATGGATATACAGAACGTTTGGGAATCTGGTACTAGGCCGGATTAGGGAATTTGCATACGATCGGAGGGAGATACTGTTTTTTCGCGTTTTTTAGAGAGTTTCCAGTATTAGTATAGCTATTCCTTTGGGAGTTACGGGATATGGACAATGGGATATGGGATACGGGATATGGTTATGTGACCTCGCGTTCTATTAGTGACTCGACTAGTAAACTAGACCCCTTTAGGCTTAGTAGATTTAGGGATCGCATATTAATACTATAATACTGCAATCCCTACTTCTAAATAACAACTTCACTAACTATATATAAATAGCATTCTATAACTTATATAACGGTGCCATATATTACTAGTAAACCAATACTAAATTAGAAAAAGAAAAAGATTATAGAAATAACTTATTCTAATTAATATAATCTTATTCTAATTTAGCTAAAAGCCCTTTATTTATTAGAAGCCTATATTATTTAATAGTTATATATTTAGAAAAAAATAACAAAATATCTATTATATAGTATTTTCTTTTTAGATTTTTCTGAATCTAATAATAATTCTATATTTTCATATATAATATTATAATATATTATATAATAAATATATAAATAGCTAGTATAATAATTCGATTTATAAAAGTATTATTAAAGTTTCTAGCTATTATAAGGCCTTAAAAAAAGTTCTATACTAGATTAGCCCAAATAAAAGAATTATATAAATAAATATAAATATAAATATACTAGTAATATAGCCGGAATTTCTTAAGTTAATTCTATTAAAACTCAATTCTTTAATTTTTTATATTAATTCTAAAATAATAGATCTTTTTTTTTAAAAAAAAAGAATTAGTATTATTATATAAGAGAAAATATATTAGATTTTAATAATAAAAGAAATCTTTCTTTTTTTATTAGAAGAAATTATTCGAGAATAATAGTTAAGCTTTCTAAATATCTAAAAGAACTAGCCAAATATATTATATATTATATAATATTATAAAAATAAATATTAATAATAGTATAGATTTAGAAATTCTATAAAGCTAGCTTATTATACTAATTAAAAAACTATTTCTAATTCGAGCCTTTAATTATTATCTCTTATTTTTTATATTATATATTATTTATATAATACTTATAATTCTTATTATATAGATCCTTAATAATATTATAAATTAATTTATAAAAAGTAATAATTATTATTTAATAGAAATATATTTTAATTAAGTCTATTTTATAATTTTTAATTTTTTTTATAGTCTAGCTTTTTTATATAATACCTATAAGCTATTAGTAGTAAAGAGATATTCTTTTAACTAAAAGTATTTAGAGAATTATATTATTATTATAATTACTTATAAATAATTCAGAAATATATAATTTAATTCTCTTAACTTCAGAAGACCTATTCTTTCTATTATATAATATATCTTATTTCTAAAGAGTATATTTGAATATATTTAGACTATATTTAATTTATAGAATTCCTATTATTTTATTTAATATCTCAGGAATTATATACTTCTCAGAGATCTAACTAAGAATCTCATCTTTATAAGACTCAAGATCAATTTTTAGAGGCATTTTTCGTACCATATAATATATATAATATATTAAAAGTGGAATAATTAAAGTAAGTAGTCTGTAGTAGGTCAAAAATGCGATTTTCCAAAAATTCGATTTTGCGGAAAAAGCCATTGAGCCTTTTGGTCGCTAGGGTCAACCGTACCTAAGCGCAAGGTCCACGAGATTAAGAATCTCCGAGTCGTCGATGCTTCTACTATCCCAGTCATCCCCGACTCCTGCCGCTCCAGAACTCCGTCTAACATGATTGGCAGAAGGACGCCGACTTTGATCAAAGGCTGGCCACAGGAAGAGCTGAGATGTAAGCCAGGCTCTGTCTCTTATAATTAAATAAAATGTTCAGATGAAATTCCGCGGTTTTGGGAACACATCTCTCCCTTTCGGAGATTCGTCTGGATTGATGGTCTGGATGGTCACCGTAGCTTGTCTTTCAGCGCCACGGGGAGAAGCGAAATGACAGGCCAGCCTAGCAACTAAAGGCGAGGTGTTTGATGAGTTTTTTGGGGCTCAGTGCAACACTAAATTTCGCGAGCACATTTAAAGTTTGCCGTGAAACATTTTTTTCCCCTTAATGGACAACATACAAGGATCTACCAGTCTCTACGCAGGTTCAGGCCCTAATGTTTGTTACACCGCCTTTGCAGGGGTTACGCTGAAATGCCCTGTAGCAATGCGCTGTAGCCGACTTTTGCTTAGCAGAACTTAAGGCGGTGTAACAAACATTAGGGCCTGAACCTGCGTAGTATGCTGACCGCCGTGCTGGACCGACCCGCCCGGTGGGGGACATAGTGGACCACTCTGACCCGTTGTAATTTCCCGTACACTTTTGAAAGCGGTTACTATATTCGAAACACTGACATCGAATCTAGCTCGAATTCTCAGGTCAGTATTTCCTCGAGACGTCTAAAGTATCTACTGATGAGCATCCTATTCAATAGAACAGCGGCAGATGTCTCAATCCCTGCGAGGTGAAGAGTACCCGACTTTAATGGCCGTTGCCCCCTCCGATTTCTCATAGCAGCCTCCACCTTCTTTTCATGTTCATCAAATCCCATACACTCTTTCCACCCTCAGTTTATCGCGTCTTTCTTTCTTCCAGTCACTCTTTACAAACCTAGGTTGACCCGAATTCCAATGACTACTTCTCTTCTCTTACAGCTTTTGTTCCTCCTGCCATTTGTTTCTGCCTTTGTTCATCCCGGACTTTTAGTCACGAGCAGTGACATCACTCGCATTAAGACAAAACTCGCGGCGCAGCTAGATCCATGGCAAAGTTCATGGAATAAACTTATCAGCATTAAATACTCCCAGTCTACATACACCAACAATGCTGTCTCCAGCGTTTACCGCGACACCGTGGGCGATGTTCACGCGAACGCCCAAAATCTCTGGCACGATGCCGCCGCCGCTTTCAACCTCGGACTGCGCTGGAAAGTCGAGGGCGATCCTCAATTTGCCAAAGCTGCGGCAAATATCCTCACCGCCTGGGGAGAAAAGCTCACGAACTTTGATATAGGAGATGACAAGTACCTCACTACTGGCTTACAAGGGCATCAGTTAGTCAACGCTGCTGAGCTCATCCGAGACTACGCTCCATTCGCCGATAGTGGGTTAAAGACCTTCACCGACATGTTCAGCAATGTCATTTTGACTAAGAATATGTTCTTCCTCAACCATGAAGCTGGTTCGGAGCATAACCCCAAGCACTTTTTTGCCAACTGGGAGCTCTGCAACATGGCATCGGTCATGGCCTTCGGAGTTTTTACTGAGAACCAGACTCTTTTTGATTTCTCTGTCGAGTACTTTAAGACGGGAATAGGCAATGGTGCAATTAACAATGCCATATCAAACCTTGTGCGAGAACCGGGGACCGGCAAAGTGATTGGACAACCCCAAGAGAGCGGGCGCGATCAGGGCCACACAGGATTGGATTTCCAACTGCTTGGCGTAATCGCTCAACAAGCCTGGAATCAAGGCGTGGATCTCTACAGTTATAATAGCAGTCGTATTCTTCTCGGGTTTGTCCTCCTTGGCTGGTAGCAACGATCGAAGGTTCTTGGCTAATCAATATATGGCAGTGCCGAGTATTATGCGCGCTATAACCTGGGGAATGACGTGCCTTTTGTGAATTACACAAACGGAATCGTGTTTTACGACCAGATCAGCTCTGCTTCTCGCGGTGCCTACAGGCCAACTTGGGAGTTGCTCTACGCTCATTATGCCCAGATCAAGGGACTTGATGTACCATGGACAGAACAGTACAAAAATCATACCGTTGAGTCGATGGGCGGTTTTGAGGGCGGTGCTGGATCCTGGGGCGAAGGGTCGGGTCATTACGATGGGCTTGGCTGGGGGTCATTGCTCTATCATTTGGATTCGTCTGATGTTGATGCTCTTTCATCACCCACCGGCCAGACTTCGTCAATCAGCTCTTCCTCCGCAGTCTTGACTGGCGCAACTGCGCACTCAGATATCTCCAGCTCTACTTCTGTCAGCCCTGTTTCCACCTTCATCCCCACCACAACTACTCTCTCTTCTGCCTTAGCCCCCGGCACCACTTTCGCAACATCCACTAGTTCTACGAGTTCCACAGCCTCTGCCAGCTCTACGACCTACATATATGAATACGATTGCGGCTTCTAAAATAGGAATGAGTCTGTGGAGAAATTCGACCTCTTTCCACAGTACATACCAACCGCATTGGACAAGCCAGAGGCTCCGGAGGACACGTGACTTTGAAGTGATCATCAACTTCAATTCTATCTAACTTCCACCATCTGCCTATTTGTATCGCGGCCTTAGGTGACATTATTTTCGAATGATCTAGTTATTAGGCTTAAAACCTTAGAATTTTACTTAGAACGGCCGCCATGGCTATCAAAGTTCATACTGTTCAACTTTAGAACACGAAGTGTTTTAAATATCCCTTTCCTTCTTGTTCGTCTGCTTTTCCTTTCTCCTCCTCCCTGTTCCTAATAATTATAACATCGAGCCTTTCCTTCCTCTTCCTAAGTTATCCTATAACAGGAATAAAGGGAAGCAGGGGAAGAGGGAGGGTCGTGGCACCTAACTACGTAACATGTCCTCTGCGTTCAGCCTCACAAGGCTGACTTTGGCGCCTCCCGGGCAGCTTTTCGTTTACGCACCTAGCATTCCCGATCACCGTGAGGTTACTTGTACGGGCTTGGCCGACCTGCTTCAGCCTCGCATCTCCAAAAAACCACCCAATCCAACCTCACCTACTGGTCCCAAATACTTCACAACCCGTTCAATTACTGAGATTTCTCCCCCACAATCGCTAAAGTCTACAAGAATCACCACCACCACTGCCCGCATCTCCACCGTCGAAGAAAGAAGCGCGGTCTACAGACTCCAATATTAAGCTCTAGAAAGCTGGCGAATCCTAAGTAAAATACACAAAGCTCTGCCTCCTTTACCGAGAACTACGAAGATAATGGCATAAAGTATTGGGAATACGGGGCATTTTGACCCTTGGTGCTCTACAGGGTGCAAATTTAGGGCAGAAGCTCGCTACAAGCTTATATAACTTTAGGTAGTGCTACCTAAATTAATATAAAGAGGCGCTAAGTAAATCTTTTAAGGTTATAGTATTATTAATAAAGCAACTATTCCTTTATTTACTGAGACATTGCCAGGCGCTAATAAGGGGGTATCCCGTATTAAATAAGGAAGTCTTACTTAGTATAAAAAATATAATTTTATATACCTTTATATATAATTTTTTAGTAAGCTATATTATTTAAATAAAATTATTACTAGTACTCTTTCTCTTTATATAATAATATATTATTTACTTCTTTTCCTAAAACTCTTTTATATTTTAATTAATATAAATACTATAAATAAGTGCCCTTATTAAAATACTTTTTTTTAATAATATAAATATATAAGAAAGTACTCTTATATTAATTACATTAATTATAGTGTTTTTTTTTTTTAGCTCTTTAGGCTCCAGAAATAAGCTAGAAGAATTATTTATTATATAATATATATTCATTCGAGACCAGACTTTGTGGCACTATCCGATGGGCTCTTGTCCCATTGGAAGTGAATACAATCCAATTGCAATGTTGGACTCCGAGTTTCGTGTGAGGGGTGTTGATGGCTTGAGGGTTATTGATGCAAGTGTGTCTCCCATCATTCCTGGTGCATTTCAAGCTGTGGCAACGACGATGGTTGGTCAGAAGAGCTCAGAGGTTATCCTAGAGGACCGCAAAGACGGCTGGGAGCGAAAGAGAGGTAAAAGGTATACAGAAAAGCCAAGTAATAAATCCCTTTGTGTTTATATATTTTAAAAGTCCACCTCTCTTACCGATTATCGTCTGCCACTTGGCGCCCAAATTAGGAGTTAACAAGACTCATTCTCTCGAAGCAACATCCGAGCTTCCTTTCAGAATCTCTCCCCTCAAAAGCAGAACGTCGTAGCAGCAGGATCATGTGCCAATAACAGTTCTCATCACCCTGCCGATCCTCTTTTCAGGGGGGAAAAGTTCGGCGGATTTAGAGACAGCTGCCTCGCCTTGGCGTGCCGTGGAAATGAGTTTAGCAGTTGCAAGAATGAGGATCATACCGTGATTGTTGTTGTGGAAGGAAGTGTCTTCGTAATGCTTGTTGTGCTCCTGAGAGTCGTAGCTGTTGGAAGCGGAGGAGTCAGCAATTATTCCAACAGTGTTCTGAGAGAATCGGAACATTGAAAAGGTGGTCTCGTTGGGACTTCATGAGATATTCTCGAATAGGTAAATCATTTCCCTACCGGCTTACTCGAAGCCTTGACAGATGTAGAGCGCACAGTTGAGGTTGAAGTTCTCACCCTCGCTGGAAAAAAAGACTAGTCTGCAAATGTAAAATAGACCAGGAAGAAGGATGAGAGCCTCGGGACGACCCAAAGTATGAAATGTTCTTCTCTCTGGTTACTTACTACTTGTGGATGTTACGACAGACGTGGAATTTACGGCCGATGTGCTCGTGGTGGTTTTCGTGGCGGTCTCGGTACTTGAGCAAACTCGTGCGACGAGGGCCGATGAGGTATAAACCGCAGCAGCCGCGGCACAAACGCAGGTCCCACCAGTTGTTGGCAATGCAGTCGATGATGCGGTTCGGCTGTTCGATGTCAAAGAGCTAGGCACCGAAGAATGGCCGCTGCTGGATGAGCGCGAGGAGCTCAACGGGGTAGTGCTGGTTCGCGATAACGACGATGAACTTCGACCGCTAACCGAATTCGAGAATGGTGTCGAGCTATGGGTGTTGCTTAGTGTGCAGCTGTGTGTCAACGATGTAAAACTCGTTTTCAATGGGCTATACGATAACAGCGGGCTAGATTTGGTGTTCGCGAGGGACACAGATAACGTTGAAGAGAGTCTTGAGCCGGACAGAGTAGAACTGCTCGTAATTGATTTTGATTGTGTGGAGCTGGAGCTACTGTGGAAGAGCTGTCAGCAGGGAACTGGTATGAAGAAACTGATATTATTTGGCGGTGTTATATATCATGGCCAAGGTTGAAAGACAAGGATGGTATCATGGAGAAATAAGACTCTCACCTAGTTGTGAGGCTCGGTGACGTGGTATTGGTGCTGGAAGAGGATCTCAATGAGCTAAATGTAAGTGTTGCGATTGATGAAGTTGAGGAGCTCGAAATTGAAAGCGTAGAGCTAGAAGAACTGGAGGACACGCCTGGACATGTTTCCACGTTCACGGTATTCGCATCAAGAGTGACACTCCCAGTTAATCCGAACACACCCCCATTCGATACTGCGTCAGTGTTGAGCGTCACAGAAGCTCCCGCGAGGATGGGGCCATGGCATAAACTGCCTGTACCCAAAGTCGCCGAAGTTCCAACTTGCCAAAACACATCGCAAGCCTGCGCTCCTTCAGTGAGCACAACACTTGAGCCAGTCGCCATGACCAAAGAGCTTCCAATCTGAAAGTACCAGGCATCACTTGATGAACCGGTGCCGGCAAGAGTCAGAGTCCCAGTAACCGCTGCAGAACTGCTGTAGCTGTATGTCCCAGGAGCCAAGGTCATGCCACCCAGATCACCAATCAATGGCGTTGCGCCACCGAGGCCAGTGAGCACATTGTACGCCGTCTGAGCATCGTTGAGCGGTTTTGTAGCAGGCGTTCCTGTGATTTCGGTGCCAGTAAAGACTCCAGGGGGAAAGCCCGTAATTGACGTGCCAACAGTGCCAAGATCGCCATTGATAACAGTTGCACCCGTGTTCGTAACACTTGCTGAGCTGAGAACACCGAACGTTGCAGCGGAACCGAGATTTATCTGCTAATGTCAGCGACATAGCCCATGTGAAGACAAGGGGATCTTACTTTTGCAGATGCGAATGATGAGCAAGACAGCAGACCGAGAATCAAAAACATGGCGCCTATTGTAGTCTCCGTTTACTGACGTGGAAAGCTTGGCGAGTTAAGCTTCTGTTGGGATCTGGGCAGAAAAAGAGAGGAACCACATATGCAGCCAAGGTACTAATACCTGAAAGGGACTCTGGAGAATCGAACGCCTTGCATGTTGGAGAGTCTATATGGGAACTGGAATGAAAGCAATGAAAAGAAAAGAGAGACAATCGTTAGCTCGAGGAGACTTCCTGACGAGTACAAATCCGCTAATCTCCACCCATCCCAATGGAGACACTTTATCTCACATATCGGAGTGTCGAAGACAGAATGACGGTGAAAGTCTTGAGAACGGACCACATCGGGTATATGAGGTACAAGGAAAAGCAATTGAGGAGAACTTCGCCGCCATGAGTTCCCGATTGAAAATCGGGCCGCGGAACCGAGGTGCTTCAACCCTCCACCAACTGGTATCTCGGCTCGAGGCTGCGGCTGAAAGATTGATACCAGTAAAGCAATAAAAACCAAAGATCTTTGTCTGTATATATAGTTTTCGGCTTTTCTCTTTTATACCTCTTTTTTCAAATTTAACCCCCTTATATCTTTATTAATTTAAGTCTATTAATTATAAAAAGTAAATTAAAATACTCGCAAAAGCTAAGAAAACTAATATCCTTAAAGGTTTATATTTTTAAGGCTTAAAAATAAAGCTATAAAAAGTGCTTTAAAAATAAAGTATTATTATAGTTTCGGTTTTAATCTAGTTATTTAACTAACTTATACGTGTATTACTTATATATATTACTTCTCTAATTGTCTTTATAGCTTCTATTATCTCTAGTTATTTAATAAATATATATAATACTATAATAGAAATATAAAACAAGAAGTAATATATAAATAAATAGGCTTCTATAATATAGGATTACAGTATATAAATAAGATGTGAAATTAGTATATAAAGATTAATTTATATAAGGTATTTATTAGTAGGTAATAAGATAATAGAATAAATTAGTATATTATAAAACTATAGTATTAAATTTAGTATAGAACTAATTTCTGTCTTTTCTATAAGGTCCAGAAAAGCCTTCCCTAAATAGAAGGCTCTAATAATATATATATAATTAGTAATTTATAAGCCTAATATATATAATATAAATAGTAGTTAGTTATAGTATTAAAGGGCTACTAATCTTTCTAATTAATACCTGTAATATTCGAGATTCGTTATATATAACTTTATATATATTATAACTATATCTTTTTTTTTTAGGATCTTATTTCCAAGATCTATTAATTTATTCTAGTAAAACATTTAATTAATTATATATTTAATTAAGATAAACTTCTAGTATTTTAGGAGATAGATTTATTAATATAATCTAGGTAATAAATATAAAAATCGTCTAATTAGATCAGGACTAAATAAGTAAAAAGAAAGAATAATTATACTTTAGATATAGAGGCTAGCCGGTAATTATAATTTTATTTAGGATCTAAGTATTTTAATTAGCTTAATCTAAAGTACTAAGATATTATTCTATAAAATTAATACTATCTATTAAATTTTATATTAGAATAATCTAAATAGCTATATAAAAAGAATTTAATAAATATTTATATAAGAATCCTATATAAATGTTTTTGAGATTCTAGAAATTATTTATAGGTTTCTAGAAATATATATTAATCGGTTATACTAAATTCTAATTAGAACTAATATAAAAACTAGTAGTTAATTTAGATAGTTCTTTACCTCTATAAAAGAATCTCTTTATATTACTATATATTCTCTTTCTTTCTAATAACTATATATATAATAACTTCTTTTATTATTACTTTCTAGCCTATTCTTCTATTCTTCTTTAAGTCTTCTTTAATTATCTTTAATTAATTCTATAATATCTTTTTCTAGCTTTATTATTTACTAATATAATTACAAGTATAAAAGTAATCTTATAGCTTTCTTTCCTATTACTAGTAAATACTTGAAATACTTTAAGTATTTACTTATTAATCTCTTTATTTTATATACTATAATATCTAGTAAAAAGAATTATAACTATTATAATAAAGGTTCTAAATCTTATATATTAGTAAGTTCTTTAGCTTTAATATCTATTAAAGCTAATATAACTTCAGATTTCTTACTATTTATTAGAGGCTTACTAGTTCTAGAAAGATACTATTATAACTTTTAAGAAATTTCTTAAAGAATATCCTAAATAGTATTATACTAATAAGAATAATACTATTAATTAGGTTTTCGAAAACTAGAAAAATACTAATAAGCTTCGGAATTCTTCTTTCTATCTTAATAAGGCAAAGAATAATACTATTTAGGTTAGTATTCTAAAAGTAAGTTCTTTCTAATATATTTAAATACTTACTAATTCCTTAAAGAAATACTATAAAGTCTACTTTTAAAGTATTAATCTTTATTATAGTAAGAATTACTGAATTAGGGCTAGTATAATTGCTTTACTTAGTCAGGATCTATATATTTACTTCCTAAAGCTTTATACTTTACTTAAGCTCTTTTCTAGCTAGTTTAATAAACTCTTTTACTATCTAATATAATTCCCTACTCTGTAATCTTTATATATATTAGTTATGAGCCTGGCCTTATACTAATAAGCTTCCTAATTAGTAAGCTATAGAGAGTATTTAAGAGCTTATTTAATTCATTCTTTGAAAATTATACTTTAGTTTATATTTCCGATATTAACTAATTAATAGAAACTATTCCTATAGCTCCTATAGTTTCCAAAGCTTAATCGCGATTATATTAGAAGCTATAGTAAAGATTATTATCCTGAAAGACTATAGTTTCTGGACAGACTAGTTTAATGCTTTCCGTAAAGTAGCTAGTAATAAAGGCATCTGGAATAAGATTAACCTATTTAATAATAAAGTAATTAAAACAAATATAGTAGCTTCATCCAGGCCTCTTTTTATAATTAATAAGCTTATACTAAAGGAAATAGAGAATTATTATACTAGATATTAAGTTAATACGGAAAATTGGGATAAAAATACTTGACCTATAATTAAGAAAGAATTAAAACTAGTATTTCTATAGCCTGTAATATTTAGGGATATTAGAGATTACTATTTAGTATTCTTATAGGACTATGAGATCAAGAAACTAGACTAGATAAATAAGCTAGTATATTACTATATAATTAGGTAGTGGCTCTATTAAATAGTTAATATAGAGATTCTTATAAACTCTATATTAGGCCTTAAAAAAAGTAAGCAGAGCTCTATTTGTGAGGTTCTTAAGGCTTTATTAATAAAATATAATTTTATAAATATAGTACAAATTACTACTACTTAGAAAGTATATAGCTCGGTTCTACTATAAGTAAGTAAAGAAGAAGTGAGCCCAAAGTACTAGTTTACTAATTGGGAGAAGGTACTTAATAGAACCAGAGCTCTCAAAATTACCGAAATTAAAGGTACTCTAGTAGTAATCGAGTTCTTAATAGCCCTCTAGTAGAAACTTGTACTAACCTGGGTAATAAAATAGCTTAGTAATCTATATAGTAAAGATAAACTAGGGCTTCCGATTCTTATACTTGAATAGTATAGCCAGGTATTTAATTAGATTATTTTAGAAAATTAGAATACTAAATACTTAGAAGCTCCTATAATTTTTATAATACTCGGGAATTAAACTAGTAAAGAATTAGATAGTAAACCCGATTCGAACAAGAATAAGTACTATAAGTACCTTTATAAGAGTTCTAAAACCTATAAGTATAAGTAGGACCTATTTAGCTATATTACTATAGAAATTATAATTACTAGATTAAGTAAAACTTAAATAAAATTTAAGCCTAATAAGAAATAGATTAGAAAAATCCAGGATAAGATCTTAATTAAGTATTAGAAGAATCTAAAACCTTAGCTAAAAGAGAAATATAGTATGAAAATTACTAGTAAACAAGCTATAGAGAAGTTAATACCTAGTACTAGTTCTAAAAAGAAGCCTAAAGTATCCGGAACCCAGTTTCCTAGAAACTTTAATACTACTCTAGTAAATTCTATACTTATAATCCAGAGCCTAGGCTAGGAAATCTATATAATACTTGATTTCTTAAAATATTTGCTTTCTTAGAATATCTTACTAGATAATTATAGTATTATATACCTAGTTAATAGTAAGAATCTAATTAATTCTAGTACTTTTATTAAAGCAAAAATTAATAATTATATAGAAGCAGGAATAACTAGTTTTCTAATTATTAGATATAGTACTTATATAATTAAAAATATAGTTAATAGATTTATAGAATTATATACTAAAGATCTAATTCTCTATAATATTATAGTTATTAAAGGGTTCTATATAAATATTATTTCCGAAGCTTGCCTAGCAAAAAAGAAAGCTTAGTATTATAAATATAATCTTATAGTTAGACTAGAAGATTATAAAAAGAATATAGTATTAATATAATTAGAATATAGGTTCAATTTAGTTTTCCTTAAATATAAGCTATTCTTTACTTACTCTAATATTTTATTTGAAATTTTTATTAGTACTAATAATATACTTATATTTCTAATACTCGAATATTTAATTAGAGCTTAATATAAGAGATCTAGAGAGTATCTTAAGCCAAGAAGTAATTCAGAAGAAAAATAATATATAAGAACAGGGTATTTAGCCTATAAAGCTCTATAAAAGCTTATTAATTATATATATAATATGAAAATTAATAAACTAATAAGAATTATATACGAATTTTATATTTAGGTATATACTAGGCAAGTAATTTTATATAGGCTAACTAAGAGAAAGTCTATTTAACTATTTTAGAGAATCTTATAGAACTTATTTAATTACCTAAATAGCTATAATAGTTTGAGCTAGATTCTAATAATTAAGGACAAATTTAGTAGAAAGCTCTTTGGATATCTTCTATTAAGTAAGGAGAATTTAGTAGTATTTAATATAATTAGGGATTTTAAGTAATAGATATATAGGTAATATAATCTTTTAATTACTTATATTAAAT